GGTGTCCCTTACGTGTTGGTACATGAAGTTTTCCAGTACCACCTCCATCATCTTAGCCCTCCATGTATCTTGGCCCCTATGTGGCTCCAAGTTCTCCCAATCGATCTCCTTGTGGTTAAAGTCGCCCATGATCAGGAGCTTTGCCCTGCATGCATGAGCTCTTCTGGCCACTGCAGCCAGTGTGTCAACCATCGCTCTATTGCTCTCGTCATACTCATGCCCTGGTCTCCTGCTGTTCTGTGGTGGGTTATACATCACTGCAATTACCACCTTGGGACCTCCAGAGTGAAGCGTTCCCGCTATGTAATCACTTTCTTCTCTGCTGTCTCCTTTCTCCAGCTCATCAAAATTCCATCGGTGTTTGATCAGCAGTGCCACTCCTCCACCCTCCCTGTTCCTTCTGTCTTTCCTCAGGATCTGGTATCCCGTTGGAAAGATGGCATCTGTTATCATATCTGTAAGCTTGGTTTCTGTGAGCGCTATGATGTCCGGTGATGTCTCTTTGACTCTTTCGTGCCACTCCTCCCACTTGTTTGTTATTCCATCAGTGTTTGTGTACCATACCTTCAGTTTCCTTTCCAATACTGTGGTTTGGGGGGCCTGTGGGAGTGGGAGTCCTGGTATCATACTGTGGGATTCTATGATTGGGGGTTGGGTGGAAGCTGTGGGTATGGACTGTAGTTTGTGTTGGGATGGTGTAATAGGTTGTGGGGTTCTGAGGATAGTTGTGTGTGTGCTTGCCCTTGCTTCTCTGTTTCATCCTTGCTCCCTTTCCTATCTCCTTTCGCTTTTTTGTCCTCTCCCTCAGCTGCTGTCTCTCTGTTTGTGCTCTGTCTCTGTCTAGGAACACCTTCTTGTACTCTTCAGAGTTTTTCAACCTTGGTTTCTCTTGGAGGATCCTGTTCCTCACTGTTTCTTTCCTGAGAATCAGCTTGATCAGTCGGTTTCTCCCCTTCACGTACCCCCCTATTTTCTGAAAATTTACAATCTCGTCCATGTCTTCTCCCCCTATTTCTGTGATGATTTTTCCAATCTCCTTTCTTTCTTCCTGCCGTCTTTCAGTGTGTGTCTTTTCCTCTCTCTCCCAAAGCCCATGGACAAACACTGATTTTGCCCTTTCCTCCTCCCATTGCCTCTCCCTCTGTGACTCTGGTTCCTGTCTGTATATGGTCATTTTCTCCCTTGATTTTTCAAGTGGCTGTTGGTAGCATGGTTGTGCCTCAGCATTCGACTTATCTCCCTCTCTATCTGCACCCAGCTGCTTTTTCCTTTTACTCCCTGACCCTTCTTTGCAGGCTGATATGACCTTAGCATAATTCATATCTCCTTCCTTCCTGTTCATCCTCTCAGCTTCATTTGCTGTGTCTTCTCTGGTCACTGCCCCTGAGACTTGCTTCAGCCTGTTTACCTCAAACTCTAGGACCCTTACCCTGTCTACTGCAGTTTCGACTTGTGCCTCCCATTTCTCCGTCTCCTTCTCCAACCTCTTTTCCCACTTCGCAGAGAGCTCTTTCTCCATTTTTTCAGAAAGCTCTCCTAATTTTCTCTCCCATTCTTGCTCCATCCTTCTCCGCTGCTCCTCCATCCATTCCTCCCTGCCAATACCATTGTCATCTGATCCCTGATTCCTACGAGTCCCAACCATTTTTTTTTTTTTTTTTTTTTAGTAAAGGAAAAAGAGAAAGAGAGAGAGAAAGAGAGAGAGAGAGAGAGAGAGAGAGAGAGAGAGAGAGAGAGAGAGAGAGAGAGAGAGAGAGAGAGAGAGAGAGAGAGAGAGAGAGAGAGAGAGAGAGAGAGAGAGAGAGAGAGAGAGAGAGAGAGAAAAGTAAGGAAGAGAGAGAGAGGGGAAAGGTAGAAGGAGAGAGAGGGGGAGAGTGAAAAGGAAAAGGGGGAGAGAGTCAGAGAATGAGAGGAGAGAAGGGAAAGATAGGAGGAGAGAGGGAGAGAGAAGGGAAAAGAGAGAGAGAGAGAGAGAGAGAGAGAGAGAGAGAGAGAGAGATCCTATATACCCAGGGTGACTCGAGTATGGAACACATTCGTACAGCATAATGATGTCAACGAGATAAAGTCAGTTGATCAAATGAAAATGCTGGCCCACAGATGGCTCCAACTTCATCCTGTTCCCTACTTGTATGTCTCATAACAATAAAAATGCTTTCAAATGAGCTGATGTAGGTAACATCTCTTAGCTTGCCAATAAAGTTAGGAATCCTTAACCTGTAAATAGCTTGTCAAACCCTGTGTAAAAAACAAAAAAAAAAAAAGAGAGAGAGAGAAAGAGAGAGAGAGAGAGAGAGAGAAAGAGAGAGAGAGAGAGAGAGAGAGACAGAGAGAGAGAGAGAGAGAGAGAGAGAGAGAGAGAGGAAGAGAGAGAAGACTGTACACTGACATTCACTTATCCAAGAGAAGAAATGCCAGCTGCTCTAAGCTACATCAATCACCAGCTGAGAGTTATATCAGCTTGGGGAAATAGATGGCAAGTAACATTTGCACCTGAGAAAACGCAAATGATGATCGTCTCTAGGCACCATGATGGTAATGCTGGTGCAGTAATAAGGATGAGTGGGAGGGTGTTGGCACCTGGAGAAGAAGTTGATATCCTTGGGGTGAAATTTGACTCCAAACTAACCATGAAGAACCATGTTATAAATCTTGCAAACAAGGCAGCCAGGAAGCTTACAGCACTTCGCCGTATCTCGCATCTGCTTGACAATAGGGCTTGCAAGATTCTGTACGAGGCACAAGTACGCTCACACCTAGAGTATGCTCCACTTTCTTGGTTTGCCTGCCCTCCCTCTCACCTGCGACTGCTTGACAGAGTAGAGAACAGAGCAAGACGTCTCATCTCTCGCCTGGACCTATCCTGGGTAGATCTGTCATTTCAGCAGAGCCTTCAACATAGGAGGGATGTGGGTGGCCTTACTGTTATGTACAAGGCCAATATTGTCAAAATACCACACTTGGATCCACTTCGAGGACAGCATGAAACAAGCTTTTATGCCACAAGACGGGCAGAAAGCAGCAACTTCACTCTGGCTGCACCCTTCTCCAGAACATCACTCCATCTGAGATCATACATACCCAGGATGACTCGAGTATGGAACACATTCATACAGCATAATGATGTCAACAAGATAAAGTCAGTTGATCAAATGAAAATGCTGGCCCACGGCTGGCTCCAACTTCATCCTGTTCCCTACTTGTATGTTTAATAACAATAAAAATGCTTTCAAATGAGCTGATGTAGGTAACAGCTCTTAGCTTGCCAATAAAGTTAGGAATCCTTAACCTGTAAATAGCTTGTCAATAAAGCTAGGGATCCTTAAGCTTGTCAAACCCTGTGTAAAAAAAAAAAAAGAGAGTGAGAAAAAAAAGAGGAAGAGAGGAATAGAGAGAGGAAGAGAGAGAGAAAAAGAGAGAGGAAGAGAGAGAAAGGGAGAGAGAGGAAAAGAGAGAGGAAGAGAGAGAGAGAGAGAGAGAGAGAGAGAGAGAGAGAGAGAGAGAGAGAGGAATAGAGAGAAAGGAAGGGAGAGAAAGATTAAGAGAGAGAGAGGGAATAGAGAGAGAAGAATGGAGAGAGAGAGAGAGAGGAAAAGAGACAAAGAGACGGAGAGAGAAGGAAAAGTTAGATAATCAATTCACATAAAGGTGTGAAATCCTGTATATGTGTGTGTATGTGTATGTGTGTATGTATGTGTGTGTGTGTGTGTGTGTGTGCTACAGCTATTCAAGTGCCTAACAGCAGATCCTGTTCTCACCTAGTGTGTGTGTACGTGTGTGTGTGTGCGTGCGTTCATGTAAGCAGTCCTTATGTCCCTCGTATGTATTACATACATTTTTCTTGTGTGCCTAAAATTACATAAATTCACATAAAGGTGTGAAATCCTGCATATGTGTGTGTGTGTGTGTGTGTGTGTGTTGTGTGTGTGTGTGTGTCTGATGTGTGTGTGTATGTTTATGTGTGTGTGTGTGTGTGTGTGTTGTGTGTGTGTGTTTGTGTGTGTGTGTGTTTCTGTGTGTGTTGTGTGTGTGTGTGTGTGTTGTGTGTGTGTGTGTATGTGTGTGTGTATGCATGTGTTTATGTAGGCAGTCCTTATTTCCCTCGTATGTACTACATATGTTTTGCATATGTACCCAATCTCTTGGTTTCCACTGTACTATCTTGTGCCTAAAATTATGTTCAATTCTGTATGCTAGGCTTCGCTAGGCTACCTCTCATACTAGGCTATCTGTCATTAACTGCTTAACTCTCCTAAACCTCGATAAACTCTATTAAATGCCAGTAAATGCTGCTTATTCTAATTCTGAGAGCTCGAAGAGAGTGACCCCCAAGTTCCAGCTAGAGACTGGTGCTGACCCCATGCAACTCAAACTAGGTGAATATTACTTGCGGCTGGCAGTGGAGTACGTTGCCGTCCGTCCTGGGTCCCACGTAGTTGAAGATGCTTGATGCTTCTCGGTAATTTTTTCCACTAACTTCCTGTAGGCACTGTGGTCTCTAGCTCATCTATTTTTTTTCACTCACTCTCTGTATTTACTGACACATCTACACATATCTCTTATCTCCCTGATCTTGAGTCACACTTATTCTTCAAATACCCCACTGCGTTATTTTGGCAACACTGTTTAGGGCTGACACAACCATTCACCTTCCTTCCAACGGCCCCCATATAGTAACTGTCACTATTTACTAAATTGCTTTTCTGTGATCACTTATATTTCCTTTTTTCGGGGCTTAAGTGATTATATTCACTCTTATGCGTGCACACGTCTATATCCCACACTCTATTCCTTATGGTACAGTCAGAAATTACCACCAAAACACGAGCTCAAACCGCGTGACTCCTCCACGAGTGTGTGTGTGTGTGTGTGTGTGTGTGTGTGTGTGTGTGTGTGTGTGTGTGTGGGTGTGTGTGTGTGTGTGTGTGTGTGTCTGTCTGTCTCTCTATGTCTGTCTCTGTTTGTTCGTTTTTTATCTTTTTTTCTTTTCCCTCCCCCAGCTAACCCCAGCATAGGCCCCACAGTCAAGCTTCTTGGGAGTGGGATCCTTGAAACTTCAGTCTTGTTACGGACTGACGTGGGACCTTTCTTTGAGGGAGAGAAACTCAACTTATCCTGTACTGTTATAGGTGGTAAGTACTCGTTCTTACTGTTTTCCAGTATTATCTTCTGAAAAATTTACAAGTTTATCCAGAACCATCAGTAGTGGTAAATACCTCCTGTCTTTCTTGTCTTCCAGTACTTTCGGAATAGTTCCAGTACCTCCTGTCTTTCCTGTCTTCCAGTACTTTTGGAATAGTTCCAGTACCTCTTGTCTTTCCTGTTTTACAGTACTTTTGGAATAGTTCAAGTACCTCCTGTCTTTCCTGTCTTCCAATACTTTTGGAATAGTTCCAGTACCTCCTGTCTTTCCTGTCTTCCAGTACTTTTGGAATAGTTCCAGTACCTCCTGTCTTTCCTGTCTTCCAGTTCTTTTGGAATAGTTGCAGTACCTCCTGTCTTTCCTCTCTTCCAATACTTTTGGAATAGTTCCAGTACCTCCTGTCTTTCCTGTCTTCCAATACTTTTGGAATAGTTCCAGTACCTCCTGTCTTTCCTGTCTTCCAGTATTTTTGGAATAGCTCTAGTACCTTCTGTCTCACCTGTCTTCCAGTACTTTTGGAATAGCTCCATTTGATAATGAATGCCATTGTTCATGCTCAGTTGAATGTACAGGTTAAGAGTTTTGCTTAAATTCAGATCATTTCTAATGTTAGCCTTATCAGGGTAATACCATATTCCCTTCTTTCCTCCGCTCAAGGATGCATTCCCCATTATTCGTCTAATACCCTGGTACATATTTCCTACCATGTTAACAAGGTAGCAGGTGTAAAGAGACTTGCCAGTGTGTTATCCTGCGTAAGATGAGACCCACAGACGGCGTCTAAACTCCGATATAAAAATAGCAGGTAATAGGTATGGAAATTTGTCCAGTCATCTCTCTCCGACCAGGATGTCACCAACAACAGTCGACTAACGTCTAAGTGCCTATTTCTTTCTAGGTGAACCCGGGCAGCAGGTGAAGACACATACCAATTCGTCTCGCCCAGTTCACGATGTCATATAGTTAGTTTAATATGTTTATTATGCACCCCATACCCATCCTGTGGGCGGTAGTCAAAAGATTACAGAGGTACATAATTGGTCCAGGGACTGGACTCCAAAGTTTTGATAGCTGAGCAAGTTACAGAGGTAATGAACTCCCAATTTACAAAGGTAATGAACTCACAATTTACAAAGGTAATGAACTCACAATTTACAAAGGTAATGAACTCACAATTTACAAAGGTAATGAACTCACAATTTACAAAGGTAATGAACTCACAATTTACAAAGGTAATGAACTCCAGGTAAGTCTGGTCACAATCATGACAAGTTACAAAGGTATTTACAGATTACAGAGGTACGTAATGGGTCCAGGACTGGGCCCCCAAAGTTTTGATAGCTGAACTAGGTACAAAGGCAATGAGCTCACAAGTTACAAAGGTAATGAATTCTGTAGAATGGTTACTTACGTTTATACTTTGGCTACAATCATGAACAAATTATAGAGTAATGAGCAATTCACACTTCCACACCCGGTCACAACTGTAATGAGTTATTGGTGCAAATATTGATTGTTGAGTCACACACACCACACACACACACACACACACACACACACACACACACACACACACACCACACACACACACACAACACACACACACCACACACCACTTTAGTTTAATATCTTATATGCACCCCATACCCATCCTGTGGGCGGTAGTCAAAAGATTACAAAGGTACATAATGGGTCCAGTGACTGGACCCAAAGTTATGATAGCTGAACTAGTTACAAAGGTAATGAACTCAGTAGATCTGGTCACTAATCATGGCAAGTTACAGAGGTAATGAATCAGCTTCACTCCTATACATGGTTACAGTCATGAACAAATTACAAAGTAATGAACCACTGATACGTCCACACCTGGTCACAATTGTAATGAGTTATAAATACAAATATTAAGTGGATCATACACCCACACTAGCGCGCGCGCGCACATACACACACGAGGGCGCACGCACGGACATGTGCACACGAGCGTACAAATATATGCATACACACAAGGACGCAACCCACACACACACACCCACACACACACACACCAACACCCACACACACACACCCTCACACACACCCACACACACACCCTCACACACACCCACACACACATACACACATACACACATACACATATATAGGAGTCGAATAGTAATCGGTTACCTATTTTCTTAATTTTGAGCAGGAGAAGCACGTGTAAGGAGACCTGTCTATATGTCCTGTACTTCCCTCAATGCAACATTGAACAGCCGACTAACACCACGTATTTGTCAATAACAGATGGCCTGAGGAGCTGGTCTATGGAGACTTGCGTGTATGTCTAAATTCCCTGATGATTGAACCTACCTTAATGCATTTTAATGGTTTCGCTTAATCTTACCTCAAAAACAGTAAGCAAAACTGCAGATAACTTCAGAGAAAAGAGAGCCTCAACAAAATATAGCGTATAGAGAGAGAATAAACAATTATAACTTCATTACTTGATTAAGATCTCTTCCGGTAGGTTCTATAATGACATAAAATGTCTATGATCAGTTACCAAAGGTAAAAAGAGAGGTGGTTATGATTATGATTAATCATTCCAAAAATCTCTTTCGAAGTTCACTGCATGTGGCAGGACTTGATGAAATAACATATAACCTTGTATTCCGGGGAACGACACTTACCAACTTCGGATAGACGCTCGTACTTATTTGGGGTCTCGCTGAGCGACATATACTTCGCTGTAGATTGGTATGCAGGTTGGAATACCCCTATGAATTGAGGTATATATATATATATATTATATATATATATATATATATATATATATATATATATATATATATATATATATATATATTATATATATATATTATTAGCCAAATTCTGATATATATATATATATATATATATATATATATATATATATATATATATATATATATATATATATATATATATATATATTATATATTAATATATATATTATATGTCGTGCCGAATATGTAAAAACTGGTCAATTAGCAAGAACTCATTTAAAATTAAGTCCTTTCTAAAATTTTTCTTATACGTTTTAAAGATATATTTTTTTTCATTCATGTTAATGTAAAAAATTTTAATTTTACTCCAAAAGAATCTTAGAAAACTTACCTAACCTTAATATAACAAGAACAATTTATTTTAGCCTAACCCAACTAAATATATTTTAGATTTGTTTACAATAATTTAATACTAAACAAACACAGTGAAATATATTTTTTTCGATAGGTTCAGAATGATTTTGGCGAAATTATTGCATTCACAAATTTTCATTTGTCCTATATGGCAAGATGAGCGTTGCTATTTAAGCCAAGATAGCAAGTTCTGCCTATTCGGCACGATATATATTATATATATATATATATATATATATATATATATATATATATATATATATATATAAATGATACTTGGTCTGCTGAAGAAGACTCGAACCTACGAACCTTGGAACAAGGTATGCAGTGCTTTACCAATCTACCCACACTGGACCAATACCTTGGAGTCCAGCTTGCGCTAGACTTTGATCCAAGGCAACCAGCTTTCAGGGAGAAGGCTTACAGCTTTTCATCTCATCCTCTGCATGCATCAGCCTTACTAGAGATATTAACAATGCAAGGAATTCGCAAGAGCAGGCGAAATATACACAAACATTGATCTCTGGCTGAAGGAGACTTGAGCCTACGAACCTTGGAACAAGGTACGCAGTGCTTTACCAATCTACCCACACTGGACCAATACCTTGGAGCCCAGCTTGCGCTAGACTTTGATGCAAGGCAGCCAGCTTTCAGGGAGAAGGCTTACAGCTTTTCGTCTCATCTCCTGCATGCATCAGCCTTACTAGAGATATTAACAATGCAAGGAATTCGCAAGAGCAGGCGAAATATACACAAACACTGATCTCTGGCTGAAGGAGACTCGAACCTACGAACCTTGGAACAAGGTTTGTGTATATTTCGCCCGCTCTTGCGAATTCCTCATTATCGGTTAGCCACATTCTATTAGACTGCCCACTTTATCAACGAGCACGCAGAATATACCTCCAACGTAGTGTTCACTCCGCTGCTCTCTCTTTACCTTCCCTTCTCGCTGATGGACCCACCTTTCATCCGGACTCTCTCATTAACTTTTTGACAACAACTGACTTACTTCACAAACTCTGATGATACCTTCAGCCCTTTCTACCTCAATCTCTTGCTGCCCTCTACCCCCGCACTATCCCCTGCCCTGCTGTTTTCTGTAACCTATTGATCATCCCTCCCCTCTTCTGCTGCCCGATACCCTCGCTTCCTTCTCTACCCTGCAGCGCTGTATAGCCCTTGTGGCTTAGCGCTTCTTTTTGATTATAATAATAATTGCGAATACCTTGCATATATATATATATATATATATATATATATATATATATATATATATATATATATATATATATATATATATATATATATATATATATATATATATATCAGAATTTGGCTAACAAAAAGGTTAAGTTACTTCAGGTGAGGTTATGATGCGTTTCTAGAGTAAGTTTGGTGGAAAAATATAAATATTTATGTTATCTTCAATGATTATCAAAATATTTATGATTCTCTAATATACTTTGTTGGAAAAGAATAATTTTTAAGTGAGTTCGGCTTATTAGGCGCAAATAATATATACTAGGTAATATATATTAGGCATGGAGTCGATGTGTTCAGTTCGTTCGTGTTGAGAGAAGTGCAATATATTCGCCGAGATGGTGTTGACTTACTGATTACCTCAAACTGGTCCTCATCTTCCACCGTTCTCTGCACTGGACTGAAGAAGCTACTGGTTGAGGGACTGATTAAGTCATTTTTTGTATATAGTTCAACAGTCTTCACATCATGTTGTTGTGTTGGATTGATAAAGCCACTGAATGGGGTAACGTCTACACATAAAGATACCCAGATGTTGCACATGTGTCTAATTCTTCATGTTTTCGGTATT